TCTTTGTAGGAAGATTGACCAACACTGGAATGAAGTAGAACATTAAGAAATGAAAAACTATTTAAGGTGAGCATTTCTCTGCATAACTATTGATTTTCTTTTTGCTTGGAATCCAGTTTTAATGTGCAAGCAATCTATTGAACACCGAAGCACGTTCTAGCACTTGTTTGGAACATGACAGCACTATTAGTGGCTTTTCTTGTATCGCCGCAATCCTCTCACTGGATAATTAAATTAAAAATGTATTTTCTCCAAACTTACTTTTTTAGAAAGTTAGGCTTTATTTTAAAAAACGCACTAGAAAAAAAATGACAGATTCAATTTTATGACTTCCTATGAACAACTGAAGGCTTTAAATCAGTTAAACTTTTTAAATAAACATAAAAGTGAAAATATTTAGTCCTCTTTTCCCGAATTCCTCCAAATAGCAGAAATAAACCGAATGGTTAAGTGTGTAAACCTTTGATAAATCTAGGTCATAGTATTGCACAAACATTGAGAAGGAAACAATAACCACAGGAGCAAAAAAACCTTATGTGAGTATTTTGTTTCTTGCAATCACTTACTGCAGATTACATTAGTGCCAAGCTAATGATCATTTCAAGATCTCAGAAATAGTTTCAGATGTGATTACACGTCTAAAGCAATGACTTGAAATATGGTAATGTAACTCTGGAATGGAAAGTAAACACAGTAATTGTATTTTCTTCCTAACCCAAATAAATAAGTAAATGAAACATATAAATAAGTAATCATTCTTTTCCTCTGCACCCAATATAACCTTTTGTTCAAGCACAATACAGCCAAACCATTCAAACAGGCAAGTATTGCATAGTGCAAAATTTACTATAGTCAGAAGGAGATTAATGCATTTGAATATTGCCTTAAACATTTGTCACTTGCAATTTGCTTGGATTAAGAAGGCATACAAGTCAACACACCCTAGTACTCTAAAGCTTCCTGTGTGCTTCATATTTTAGTCTAAATTTACACTAGCTTTAAAAGCAGGCATTTCATAAGCATTTTTGAAGCTTTTGATCACCTTTTAAATTGCATGCTCTGTTCACATGGTCACATTAGTGTCATCACATTGTATTGCATTGTGTTGCATCAAAATAGACCTGATGTGTTGTTTGCCAGGTTTTACTGCTCCGCAAACTCTTCAATTGATGTCAATATAAATGTGCTGCAAATGCGCCACAAACGCCCATATGGGGTTTACAGTGCATTTGAGATGCATTTTGGAAAGGGTTACTAGCTGAGATGATAATAAAAAAAAAATCCATACAATAGAAAACCAACACTGAGGGGGGCCTATCACCAATGATAAGACTTGTTCTGATAAATCCCTCCTGTCACTGGAAAGATCGGTGTACTGCTGTTTCTCCACTCCTAGCTCTGTAAGTCTCCTATGTAACCAAGAACAGAGATTATGTAATCACGTTAAAAAAAAAAAAACTGAAAAAAAATGCTTTTATATTTTTTTATATAAATTCATAGATGCTTTGCCTTTCATTACTATTTTAAATGGAGTGTGTTGTTCCACAAGGTGAGGGTTTACATATACTTAAATGAAAAAAAAGAAGCTTTAAATGCATTTACTGTTGTGTGAATAAGGCCTAAATACAAGGTATCTGGACGGACCAACTTCTGTTGAGTCAGTATTGAGACATTACCTGCACTCGTAGACAAAAGGACACTGCAAGCAACTCAGTTGGGGAGTCGGGATGGATCCAAGAATATTTCCAAGTCAACTAATATAATTTGGTATATAGTAAAATCAAATAATAAGAAATTGAAAGAGTATGGCATGGTTGTAAATCTATCAAGAACAAACTGTGCACCAAAAGGGAGTGACTGTGCAAGAAAGAGACTAGTGAGGGAGACCACAAAGAGCCCTATGACAACTAAAAGCAATTAGAAGCACCTAAACCTAAAATAAGGAGATATGCATACAGAAACTGAGGAAGAGGGTCAAAATGCGTCAGCCGTAATTTGGCCCTGGGATGGCTCTCATCTAGATGTCAGGGTCTATTGGCCCCCATTGGTCATTGTACCAAGCGCCTGTCATTTGTCATGCAAATTGTCATCACATGTTTTTTGAGTATGTTTTTTTTTCCCCATAATTTTGTGAGTATGTTTTTATCTATACTACAATAAAAAATTTTTTTTAGGATCATGTGTAGGCCGGTGCGCTCTTGCTTTGCCTTTTATACAGAAACTATTGTCTGGTTCCTTTTCCAGTCAAAGCTTTATGGGAGATCAGTAAGACTTCCATGACATGTAACCTACAGGTTGCAAAAAGGCACGTCAAAGACTATGAAGTCAGCGGGAAAGATGGTTCTATGCTTTGATTAAACTGAAATGTAGCATTTTAACTTTTAAAATAAGTGTTTTATATCTAGCATAATTGTAACCATTTATCATCATAAACATACCTTCCCCACCACGATGCTTGTTGGTAAAACATGGTGCTGTGGGGATGCTTCTATGCAGCATGCCCTGAAGGCTTGAGGGTAAGAAAACCCTGGAGGAAATTTGAGCCAGCCTTGGAAGATTTGTCTTCAGGCTTTAACCCCAGGTATGAAAACAACTGTGTAAGGGCTCCTGTCAGCAGGCATTGTTTTCCTGTGCTTGATGACCTTTTGGAAAAATCAAGTTGACTTTAATTGAGCAGTACACATGGCAGTACAGAGGCTGTGCTTGACCTGCTTTGCTTTGTGCACCATTCCTTTATATGCAGGTGTCTTTAACCACTTGCCTACCGGGCACTTATACCCCCTTCTTTACCAGGCCAATTTTCAGCTTTCAGCGCTGTCACACTTTGAATGACAATTGCGCGGTCATGCAAGATTGTACCCATATGAAATTTTTATCATTTTTTTCTCACAAATAGAGCTTTCTTTTGGTGGTATTTAATTGCCGCTGGGCACTTTACTATTTGCGCTATATAAACAAAAAAATTGAAAAAAAAATTGAAAAAAAAATGTTTTCTTTGTTTCTATTATAAAATTTTTCAAACAGGTAAATTTTTTTTCCTTCACTGATGTGCATTGATGAGGCAGCCCTGATGGACACTAATAGGAGGCACTGATGGGCACTGATGGGCAGCACTGATAGGCAGCATTAATAAGGTGGCATGGATAGGCGGCACTGATAGGCAGCACTAATGAGGTGTCACGGATAGGCGGCACTGATAGGTGGCACTGATAGACAGCACTGATAAGTGGCACTGATAGGTGGCACTGACTGACATCACTGCTGGGCACTAACTGGTGGCACTGCTAAGCATTGACTGGCACAACTGCTGGGCACTGACTGGCACAACCGCTGGGCACTGACTGGAGGCACTGACTGGCAGCACTGCTGGGCTGCACTGGTGGGCACAGGTGGGTGGCACTGGTGGGCACAGGTTGGTGGGCACAGGTGGGTGGCACTGCTGGGCACAGGTAGGTGGCAATTCTGGGCACAGATGTGTGGCACTGCTGGGTGGTACAGGTGTGCACTGCTGGGCACAGGTGGGCACACTGCTGGGCACAGGTGGGCGGAACTGGTGGGCACCGATCATCAGTACCCTGATGATCGGTGCCGATCCCTACTCTGACAACTGCCGCTGCTCTGACAGCGTGAGGAAAGTGCAGCCAATAACCGGCAATTGCATTTCCCGGTGTTCAACGTGTCATTGGACATGGCTAATAATGTGGTAAAAGGCCGCTGTGATTGGCCTTTTACCACATCACATGATCAGCTGTGCCTGTAGGACACAGCGATCACAGAGATCGCCGGATGCACGCCCCTGGGGGCGCGCAGGAGAGTGCATTTTGGGAGGACGTCATATGACGCCCACCCAGAAGTGGCCAGCCGCAGTGTAGCCATCATTCGGCTATCTGCGGTTGGCAAGTAGTTAACCAGCAGGCAAAGTAGTTCAAAAGCAGCCTTTACATGTTGTCAAACACTGCATTTTCTATTCAAATATACTGTAGCTGCATGTTCGTGAATTAAAACATAGTAAAACCATAAAAACTTTTACAGCTCATCAATTTAGAGTTAAAGTGTTACTAAGACCCTGCATTTACTATATCTGGCCTCCCACAGTACACAGAAAATATGGAAGTACAATTATTTTAGTAAATATAAACTGCTAAATACCTTTTCTCATGAGAATTTAGAGCAGTCTTGTGACTTCTATCAGTGTGCAGCCAAGCACTTGTTAAAGCTTGTAGGATGAGTTTTCATTCTGCTGTTCTGCTGTAGGAGGATGCAGAACCCCTGACCTCTGTCTGGGCAGTGTTGATTGGCCCTGTGATGATCACATGCACTCTACCAAGAAAAAAAATAACCTGAGGAGTGTATGGGGATACCTAATATGTATTGCTTAATTTGTATTCACATATGTACATGTGTAGATGTGTAGCATGAGTATGAGGTTATGAATGGCTATGTTTATGAATGGGCATGTTTATGAATGAGCATGTTTGTGCGTGTGTTTCTGGGTAAAGTCTTGATTGTGTTTTATAACAATCCATTACTATCACATGGGATCTGACAGACAGTTTTTCAAAACATATTCTGCCATACTAGTTTATAAGTAGGCGCATTGGACTTTTATACATTTTGTAGTGTTACAACCTGCAATTAAAATGATTTACATGGGATTCTACATTACTGATCATCACAAATAAGGCCCCTTTCACATGAGCGGACCGATGGGGTCCGCCTTTCCGTTTTTCAGGCAGACCCGATTGGCCCATCTATAGACTTCTATGTGTCCGCTGACACCCGCCGGCATCCGATCCAATCCTGTACACCAAAACAGATGGATGGATATCTGTTCCCTATCCGTCTAGTGGATTGGATGACAATCGGGTGGAAACAGACAGGCGGTCCGCTTCCATCTGATCGTCCCATTGAAATCAGCGGGCAGTGTCTGTGCCTGCTTTCCAGCAGCAGAGCAGACAGAGACCTGTCATCAGCCAGCTCAGCGGAGATCAGTGGAGAGCAGGGGCGGACTGACCATTTGGAAACTCGGGCACTGCCCGAGGGCCCGGGGTCAGTAGGGGGCCCCATGGGATGCCCCTGGTACCTTTTTCATAGGCTTTTTTGAGTTTGGGCAAGGATACAGAGACCCCATGATCCCCTATTGCCCGGGGGCCCCATGAGTTGTCAGTCCACCCCTGGTGGAGAGATCCCCCGCTGAGCAGACGGATCACGCTGAAGGATCTGTCCCATCTGAAAAGGGCCTTAGTCAATAATGTTGAAGTTATATTTTTTAAAATGATGTACAAATAAAAAACTGAAAACTTTCAGCTGCATAACTGTTGACACCCTGTGTTGTGAAATAAGGTCTTGTGCAGTAAGCTGCCTTCAGAAGTTAAATAATTTGTTGAATGTCATTCATATGTGCACAATTAATGTACCACATGATCTCAAAATAAATACAACTCAAATTTGTACATAACAGGTACAGTATAAAAACAGCATTATTGGGGCACCCCTCCAAATCAATGGATTCAGGTGTTCCAATCACCTCCATGGCCACAGGTGTATAAAATCAAGCACCTAGGCATGCAGACTGCTTCTACAAACATTTGTGAAAGAATGGGTCGCTCTCAGGAGCTCAGTGAATTCAAGCGTGGTACAGTGATAGGTTGTCACCTGTGCAATAAGTCCATCCATGAAATTTCCTTGCTACTAAATATTCCACTATCAACTGTTAGTGATATTATAACAAAGTGGAAGCAACTGGGAACAACAGCAACTCAGCCACGAAGTAAAATGACAGAACGGGGTCAGCACATGCTGAAGCGCAAAGTGCGCAGAAGTCGCCAATTGTCTACAGAGTCAATAATTAAAGACCTCCAAACTTCATGTTGCCTTCATATTAACACAACAACAGTGCATAGAGAGCTTCATGAAATGGGTTTCCAAGGTCGAGCAGCTGCATCCAAGCCTTACATCACCAAGGGCAATGCAAAGCATTGAATGCAGTGGTGTAAAGCACACCGCCACTGGACTCTAGAGCAGGGGAGACGTGTTCTCTAGAGTGACAAATCATGCTTCTCTGTCTGGCAATCCGATGGATGTGTCTGGATTTGGCGAATGCCAGGAGAACGCTACTTGCCTGACTGCATTGTGCCAAGTGTAAAGTTTGGTGGAGGGGGCATTATGGTGTGGGGTTGTTTTTCAGGAGTTGGGCTTCCGCCTTTAGTTCCAGTGAAGGGAACTCTTAAAGTGTCAGCATACCAAGACATTTTGGACAATTTCATTCTCCCAACTTTGTGGGAACAGTTTGGGGATGGCCCTTTCTGCTCCAACATGACTGAGCACCAGTGCACAAAGCAAAGTCCATAAAGCAATGGATGAGCGAGTTTGGGTTGGAGGAACTTCACTGACCTGCACAGACCCCTTGCCTCAACCCAGTAGAACACCTTTGGGATGAATTAGAGTGGAGAATGTGAGCCAGGCCTTCTCGTCCAACATCAGTGCCTGACCTCACAAATGCATTTCTGGAAAAATGGTTACACATTCCCATAGACACACTCCTAAACCTTGTGGACAGCCTTCCCAGAAGAGTTGAAGCTGTTATAGCTGCAAAGGGTGGGCCAACTCAACATTTAACACTATGGACTAAGACTGAGATTCCATAAAATTTCATGTGCGTGTAAAGGCAGGCGTCCCAATACTTTTGGCAATATAATGTATCTGGGATTAAGTAACTGATTTGGGTTATATTCCAAAATGTAAAATCCAACAGAGCACCGCTAAAACAATTCATAAGAATACAAAGCATATGGCATAACTGTAGCACTGTCTAAAAAGAACCACCCACCAAAACCTGGTGACTGGGTAAGGAGGGCATTATCAATCGCGAGGACAATGATACTCTGAAGAAGCTAAAAATGGGAGAAGTTTTCTATGGAACAACTATAATCTCAAAGCCATTGCTAAAAAAATCCAAATCAAATCCCATATGAAGTTTGCCAAAAGGCATTTGAGATACACCAAACAAGTTGTGGGGATAACTTTCATTAGCAGGGACTTAAGCATTGTTACAGTAACTATGTTGTGTAAATCAAATGGTAAAAATGCCATTCAAATTCGATTTCGTTCTGTCCAAGTGGCATCAATGAAAGTGATATCAAACTCTTAGTTTTTTTATGCAGCTGATTTAATTACTAAGGTCCTGTTCACATCTTATGTAATGGGAATGACTGCTTGTGATTTATTTAGCACGATTTACAAGTGTTTCTTCATGTCTCATATAAGGCAGCCCATTCACTTGAATGGGCTGCCCTGTGTGCAATTGTCTTGCAAAAGAAGATTATGTACCTTTCTGGGCAATGAGCTTTGCTTGATTTGTCAATGCATTATGCTGCGAATGCCATGCGTTTTTGCCATTGACAATCGAGGCAAAATCGCACAGCGTTTGTGGTGCCAAACAGTTTTCAGCTTTCCTGACAGGTTCACATAGGAAAGCCTTACTTTGAGTCCATTCAAGGTTGTCTTTTTTTAATTAAAGCCTTAATGAAGACCGCGCATAGCCGAATGACGGCTTCACCGCAGCCGGTGAGTGGACCACGTCCTCCCAGAACGCGCTCTCCTGCGCACCCGGCGATCTCCGTGATCGCTGTGTTGCTGATCACGTGATGTGTGAAAGGCCGATCCCACCGGCCTTTTACCACAATTATCTCAGGGAAATGCAAGTGCCGGTTCTCGGCTGCACTTTCCTCACGCTGTCAGATCGTTTCTTCATTATAAGGCAGCACCGATCATCAGGGCACTTGATCAGTGCCCTGATGATCGGTGCCCAGCAGTGACACCCGCAAGTTCCGCCCAGCAGTGCGTCCACTAACGCCCACCCGTTTCCCAGCAGTGCCCCCACCTGTGCCCTTTGCACCCACCTTGCCCAGCAGTGCACCCACCTGTGCCACTCTGCAGTGCCACCTACCTGTGCTTGAAGTGCCCACCTACATGTGCCCAGCAGTGCCACCCACCTGTGCCCAACCTGTGCCCACCAGTGCCACCCACCTTGCCCACCATGCCACCCACCTGTGCCCACCCACCAGTGCTGCCCACCAGTGCCACCCACCAGTGCAGCCCAGCAGTGCTGCCAGTCAGTGCCACCAGTCAGTGCCCAGGGGTTTGCCAGTCAGTGGTCAGTGCCCTGAAGTGATGCCAGTCAGTGCCGTCTTCAGTACCCATCATCAGTGTCACCTATCAGTGCCGCCTATCAGTGCTGCATATCATCGCATCCGTGCTAATTTGCTGTCTATCAGTGCCGCCATCCGTGCCACCTCATTAGTTACTGCCTATCAGTGCCCTTGTGCTGCCTATCAGTGCCCATCATGCCGCCATCAGTGCCGCCTCATCAACGCAAACAGTGAAGGAGAAAAAAATGCCTGTTTGAAAAATTTTTTATAAAAGAAACAAATAAACTTTTCTTTTTTTTTCAAATTTTTTGCACTTTTTTTATTTATAGTGCAAAAAGTCAGTGGCGATTAAATACCACCAAAAGAAAGCTCTATTTGTGAGAAACAAATGTTGGGTACAATGTTGCATGACCGCGCAATTGTCAATCAAAAAGTGCGGCATTGAAAAAGCCTGGTAGGCAAGTGGTTAATGAAGAGGGAGTTCCTTTGACCACCAAAATGCATTGGCTGTACTTTAACACAATACTAATAAATGAATTTGGACTCTATTATCTTTTGGTCTGGTGTTCCTTCCATTTATGCACTGTTTTCAATAGACACTAGAGTCAGACACATCCCCTCTCTTCCTTTTCGGCTCGTTCACACCATACTTGCATGAAAACCGATGGAAACTGACGTGCAGATGACACTTGCAGAGACATTGGTGTACATCCGTTTTCATGCACGCTTCAATAGATTTTATACAGATTGCTGTTGCAGATTCCTGTGCAGAAAAAAATCTACACATGATACTAGTGTTGTGATATGAACAGGACACATAGAGAACAACTGATTTATTGTGCCCTTGCAGAATGCATGCAGAAAAATTGACAGCTCTGCATCATGGTGTGAAGGAGCCTTAACAGTTTGAAGTTGTGTAATAATTTCTTTTATGGGGGTGTGGCTGTTACTCAGCTATGCCCGCATACAGCACTGAAGTGAGAGGGCAGAAAGCAGCATTTTCAGGTATTTAAAGGATTCCCAAGGAAGATCATTCACAATCACAACATGTGCATACAGGACTATAAAGACATGAACAGATCTCAGATTTCATTTGAAATTCAGTTCACTTAATTAATGATTGTTCTAAGGAAATTATGATGATATAATGCTATGCCTATAATGATGACAACCTGCCAACTAGTATTTTCAAAAGGAAAGTGCATAATTTCTTAAGTGCGGGTTTCCCTAGACTAGCTTTCCTCTAGGTGTAAATAATAATTTTCCTGTAAGAAACAAAGAATACTAACACATACACACCAACAAGGAACTTATATCAGACTGAATTGGGAACTTAAAATCTAATCAAATAAAGGGCATAGCAGAACAACAGAACAGTTTCTTGGTCCTGCAAAGGTTAGACAGACTGCCATTATTGGCTTACGGTTTGTATAAATGGTAAACTAATAATGAAAAATATTGATAAATGGATATGTTTTACAATATTACAGAAAATCATTCTCAGTAGTTGATCTACTGTATGTAGATCATATCCAAATGCAACAAACAACTTCCAAGAAATCCACGTTTGGATAATAAGCATTTGCATTAACAGCGTTCATATAATTTTTTTAAAAGTAAATTTATCGTTGCGTTAGAAAATTATTTTCCAGAGAGTTATAGAGTACTGTAAAGCCATTGTGTTACAATCAGTTAGAAATAGGCCAGTAAAGAATCAGGATTCAGCAGTCTTAGGAGACATGAAAATGAAAAAAGCGGTCATCCTAGGCAAGATTAGAGACAAATCCAGCAGTGGAAAAACACTGTAGGTGAGGTACCTGGCTGCTTCATGTATGTAAACCTGTCTTGCTCAAGACCTGTCCTTTAGATCATATAACAAATATGAAGGTATAAAGTAACAGCACATGGAGCAATAACTTGTGGCCCTGTGGTAACACATCGAAAAGCTACACTCATGCTATAGAAACCGACAATAATATGTAAGTAAGATATAGAAGAGAAGAGAAGAAACTGCAGGGGGATCTGGGGTCAGATGAGACAACTTGGGTGGGACCTCAAAGAGGGTCCATGGCTCACAAATTCATTCATAGGTGGAAAGTATAATCAGGGGTGGACTGACAACTCATGGGGCCCCCGGGCAATAGGGGTCATGGGGCCCCTGTGTCCTTGCCCAAACCCAAACTCAAAAAAGCCTATGAAAAAGGTACCAGGGGCATCTCATGGGGCCCCCTACTGCCCGAGTTCCTGAATGGTCAGTCCGCCCCTGAGTATAATATTCAGTCAAGCCGAGAGTGCTTCCATGAGGTTGATCTCTCAAATGTGAGAGTGGAGTTCAAGTGTGGATTGTCCTTATACCCATCTCCAGTGGGAGCTAATCAGACATCTCAAAACCATTAACACATGTAAGGTCAGTCTTTTGGCATCCATAGGCATATAATGGTGGAAGAAGACCAAGCAAGAATGCGGCCACATCAAGCTCCATGTGTATCTCTAAGATAGTATGTAAAAGGACTTTGACTCCTAAACAAAATGGACATATCCTTAGGCAAGTCCAGTATATATGGAATAGGGTTCCTAGATGTTGTTTCCTACCCCAGCAATGGGCTGGGTTGATGTGAATTTCACACGTAGTACAATCATGTGCTCCATACCATTTAGTTGAATCTTCATAGAATCAGATGTTAAAATTTCCCCTGTGCGGCCTAGCTAATAATGTCTACCCCATGAGAAAGCAAGAGATACACCACTCAATGGTATATGAACCTTAAATGAACATTGGGAAATTAAGGCAGTTATAGTCAACAGACACTAAGGTACATTGAGCATATTCTGACCATGTAAATGGATGTTCCCACTCACATTAATGAGTTGCTACATTTTCTAAGATGATGATAAATCCATGTCCATATGAAGGAACTGAATTATGTATTTGCTGTGTTCAGATGTATATTAAGGTGCTCATGTAGCTGACCTTTGACCAACACGTTAAAGGTTAATAAGGAATTGTTCTGAGGTTCACAGCTTTGTCGAATTAAAGGCATCTGAAGGTTATTATGTTATATCCTTTCCAAACAAGACTGTATATAAACAGTGATTATGCTTGTAGCTTCTAGCAATAAAATCAAAACTGCTGAGAATAATGTAAATACCAGAGGCCCCTGCACTGCATACTTCATTGAAGTTAATAAGTGCGTGTCATAGACTGAATTACTATTCCCAGCTGAATGCGTGGAACAAAGCACAATAAAAACGATTTTTACAAAACCACAGAGATAAATGACGCTCATTTTTGATAAATGTCTAAGCAGTTAACAAAAAAACAGGTTATTATAGTTCAGGAGTATTTCTTTCAAGCAATTTGTTTACTGGAACCTTATTTCTTATTTTAATAAGCTTTCAAAATGTAAAATAATATGGGAAAGGCTTATTAATCTGGAAAACAACTCCTTTAAATGTAGATTTTTACAACAGATTACTGAAGTGTCTGCTGTAAAATCATACTATTGTGGCTGTACAGTATGTGCAGCTAAAATAGCATAGTATTTTTAAACAACATACAAAGTGGTCATACCCAAGATTTAAAGTGTATGTTAAACCAAAATTAGAGTGGTAAAGGATCAGAACCCCTGTTTTGTTTAGTTTTTTTTTACTGTGGCTTTATCTATGGCTTTACCCTCACTTTCTATGCTAGTGATAACAATTTCACCAAACACTAAGTGTGGGAAAATCTACAACTCGTACGCAGACAAAATAAGAATATGATAGGGGTTCTACTACTCTACTAGAAACATTTAAAGAGCATCTAAGCCCAAGAACAAACATGCAATATATTGCAGCGGAATACAAACAGAAGAGTGCACAACCTAAGTATAGTGGAAGTGATGCCTTTATTCTGGAAAAAATGACAAATGGCAACTCACATAACAGCAGATAAAATGTGCTTATCGTTAACATGGATGGACAATGAACAAGGCAGGCACCAGGATCCAGTCTAAAGAGCTCACAGAAGAGGTTATGCTGGCCAAGTCTGGAAAAATCTAAACAGACATCAGGGGCTGCCATTGTGAGTGGTGACAAAACACAAGAAAAATGGCAACTCGCTTATTAAAAGAATGAGAATGCACGTAGGAGATGATAAGTCAGCTGTGGAGTTGATTTTGGGTCAGGAGTCTGAATTCACTTCTGCAGAACGGGTAGTGTATGGTTTTCAAGCAACAGACCGGAGCTATGAAGTGGGAATAGGGAGGTCCGTGGAAAGCAAACAGCCAGATAATCACATCACACTCTAAGGACACTCTAGGGGGCATGACAACATATTTCAGGGCATCCACCTCTTTGTCAAAGTGGCTTGACAAAGAGGCAGATGCCTTGAAATGTGTAGCCATGCCCCCTAGAGGGAACCTATTTGCATTTTCCTCCTGCAGCAGCTGAAAGCCTGCTTCTCCTCCTCTCCCTCGTGCCGGAATTCAGCTGCCAGAGGGGGAAAATAATACAGGGGGAGGAGTATAGCATATTCCATCCCCACCACCCCTCCTGTATCTATTCCTCTTTTTTCTGCTCCTTGGACCCGCCCCGTGTGCTCCCTTGGCCCAATGCAGCATTGTTGGCTTCCCCTCCTCTCCTTTTTTGGTGACTGCTGCAGGGGAGCTATTCAGGATGGAGATCGGGGAACGGGCTAGTAAATTACATATTTTCTGCCATTTTTCTATCGTTTCTGAATGAACTCAGTGAGTGATACTGCCCTCCACATACTGGGGTAGAGAAAGGAGTACAAGCCAGACTTGATAAGGTAGCATGTAAAGGATTTACATGAAGAATTTTCAACATTCAGACATTGTATGAAAACCTGTTAACTAAAAGTGGTTGTAAACTCTCACATATCACTCTCAAGATGGCCATGGATCAACAAATATTCTTATATGAAAGTGTCAACTAGGAGATATTCTTATCCTCAAATGAGCAGCTTAAGCATAAACTTCCACCACTGGTAGCTCATTTAACACTTGGATTCCTCCCTCTACTTCACAGCAGAAAGAAGGCTGCCATAGTTGCAGGAATATTTTCTAACAAGCTAGAAGATCTACCAGTGCGATAATGAGCATCTATGACATCCGTAAAGGCTCATTATGACCCCCGAGTGGTCAGAAAGAGCCCAATAATTACAGACAAAGCTCAAAATTGAAAGCATCACTTGTAATTATCACCCACCTCATCTACCGCTACTTTTAGTCTAATTTCTGCTGCACAGGGGACTGTGGGAAGATATTATAAAAAAAGATTTCACAGTATTTAAAATGCATTTTATATGCATTGGAATTCACATCCTTGACTCTTCCATCTACAAATTCTTCTCAAACATTTCATACACAGAACCTGTCACAAGTCATCACAGCTGCAATGTAGTTAGCTCAAAAAACGCAAAATGCATGACAAAAGTGTGAAAAGTTGTCAGAAAATACGGTCCACTACTCAACATATGAACTTATTTTAAAAAACAATCTAATCTGAGCAGTTATCTGCTGTCCCCTGCTGCCACAGTTTAGTAGTACAAGCAATACTGACAAAAACTCAAAGTCCCTTCCATGCAGCAACTTAACCTAGAGTGTCTTTGCACTTTTTTTCTAGTTTGGTTTCCAAGCTGAAAGTTAATGGAAAGTGATTTTTAAACGTAATCATACAAGAGACTTAGGCTAAAATATTTTGCACTGTAGAAAATGTGGTTTAAAACATAAAAATTACAAAAACGTATGGCTTATGAAAAGTTTCTCACAGGTAACCACAGCCTTTCACCACAGTATATGCCAGTACAAATGTGGCACAGAATTACCTTAGCTAAAATGTCACTGAACACAATAACCGCACATTCCCGGTCCATCCATCTACTGTATTTATCATGAGTCCTTGCTCTCCTACATTTTACATTACGTAATTAAAGTACACTATATTGCCAAACGTATCGGGATGCCTTCTTTTACACGCACATGAACTTTAATGGCATCCCAGTCTTAGTCTGTAGGATACAATATTGAGCTGGCCCACCCTTTGCAGCTATAACAGCTTCAACTCTTCTGGGAAGGCTGTCCACAAGGTTTAGGAGTGTGTCTATGGGAATGTTTGATCATTCTTCCAGAAGTGCATTGTGAGGTCAGGCACTGATGTCGGATGAGAAGGCCTGGCTCGCAGTCTCCGCTCTAATTCATCCCAAAGGTGTTCTACCGGGTTGAGGTTGTGCAGGCGAGTCGAGTTCCTCCACCCCAAAACTCGCTCATCCATGTCTTTATGGACCTTGTTTGTGCATTGGTGCGCAGTCATGTTGGAACAGGAAGGGACCATCTCCAAACTGTTCCCACAAAGTTGGGAGCATAAAATTGTCCAAACTGTCTTGGTATGCTGATGCCTTAAGAATTCCCTTCACTGGAACTAAGGGGCTAAGCCCAACCCCTGAAAAACGACCCCACACCATAATCCCCCCTCCACCAAACTTTACACTTGGCACAATGCAGTCAGGCAAGTACCATTCTCCTGGCAACCACCAAACCCGGACACATCCATCAGACTGCCAGACAGACAAGCGTGATTCATCACTCCAGAGAACACGTCTCCACTGCTTTAGAGTCCAGTGGTGGCGTGCTTTATACCACTGCATCTGATGCTTTGCTTTGCACTTGGTGATGCAAGGCTTGGATGTAGCTGCTCGACCATTGAAACCCATTCCATGAAGCTCTCTACGCACTGTTGTTGTGCTAATCTGAAGGCCACATGAAGTTTGGAGGTCTTTAGCTATTGCCTCTGCAGACAGTTGGTGACTTCTGCGCACTGTGAGCTTCAGCATGCCCCCGCTCTGTCGTTTTATGTAGCCTACCACTTCGTGGCTGAGTTGCTGTTGTTCCCAGTTGCTTCCATTTTGTTATAATACCACTAACAGTTGACCGTGGAATATTTAGTAGCAAGGAAATTTCACAGATGGACTTATTGCAAATGTGGCAACCTATCACGGTACCACGTTTGAATTCACTGAGCTCCTGAGAGCGACCCATTCTTTCACAAATGTTCGTAGAAGCAGTCTGCATGTCTGGGTGCTTGATTTTATACACCTGTGGCCATGGAGGTGATTGGAATACCTGAATCCAATGATTTGGAGGGTGTCCCAATACTTTTGGCAATGTAGTGTATATTTAAAGCCAAAATCTTTTTTTTCATTTTGGAGCAGGGAATAGTATAAATCCACATCAGGTTTTTTTCTGCCATCTATGTTTAATTTGGGAGATTTTCCATTAACTCCTGCCCTGTAGCCACAACAGGAAGTGAGAGGAAATTCTCACTCAGGGAGTTGTAATAACAACAAGTGCCTCCATTCTAATATTTCCCCTCTACTGCTGTATTGGTGGCAACAAAACATTTTGGATTTTCCTACCACTTTCTTTCCCAGTGATATAGGTCACCAAGACAAAAAGGTGAATCTTCATAGGAGGGACACAAACAGCATTAAGAACCAAACAGGGGCTCTATTCCTTATCTACTCTATCTACTCTCTCCAAAACTACATAAAATAGGGTTTAACTGCTTACCAAAAAGAGTTGAGACTACTTGTTTAACATAAGACATTGGGGTTGATTTAGAACTAGAGAGTGAACAAATCTGGTGCAGCTGTGCATGGTAGTCAATCAGCTTCTAACTTCAGCTTGTGCAATTAACCACTTGCCCTCCAGAGGATTTACCCCCCTTCATGACCAAGCCATTTTTTGCTGTTCAGCACTGCGCTATTTCAACTGGTAACTGCGTGGTCGTGGAATGCTGCACCCAAACAAAATTTATATCCTTTTTTTTACAAAAATAGAGCTCTCTTTTGGTGTTATTTGATCACCACTGCAGTTTTTACTTTTTGTGCTATAAACAAAAAAAGACCCAGATTTTTGAAAAAAACATGATATTTTTCAGTTTTGGTTATAAAAAATATCAAATAAACTCAAAGTTAGTCATAAATTTAAGCCAAAATGTATTCTGCTACATGTCTTTGGCAAAAGAAATGCCAATACATGTATATTAATTGGTTTTGTGTGAAAATTATAGCGTCTACAAACTATAGTATATATATTCGAATTTCCACAGCTTTTACTTTCTGACTGCCTATCACATTTAATGAGATGCTAAAATACCAGGGCAGTAAAAACCCTCCCCAAATGCTGTGCATTTCTGTGTGATTCATATACGGGTCTATGTGGTGCAATTTCATGCCCACTTGTTTGAATGGGAAAAAATCACACCCCACCACTTCTAAAAGTAATGCATGCATGACTTTATTTTAAACGCTCGGCAACTGCATCACATTGTACTTTATACCATGTGGTTTGGTGTGGGCCTTACCTTTAACTGACCCCGAAGCAGATCGCAAGGGCGTTTGTGATCGGAATGTGGTGTGGGAAGCCGCACATGAACGTGGTTCTCCTGCACTTAGTCAATCAACCTCTTCATGTTAGTGGCCATGGCTGGGAACACTCATAAAGGGGACAATACTTCTTTTTGAAGCTGTGTTCTGAAGTGAGTTAATTATTTGTATACCTTTAAATTACACCTATCAATAAAACCTGTGCAGAAGTGTAAAAGCACTTTACCAATACAGACCATGTAGCAACAATTAGTTTTTGTTTTTTTTTCTTCAATTAAATTTTGGAGGTAAACCATCTAGGAACCCAGTGAAAATAAATATCATCCTGATAAGACTTCAGCAGAATTAATTCTGATTGGCTGTAGTGAGACATAAAAGTGCCTAGATCAGTAATGGTGAACCTTTTTGAGCCCGAGTGCCCAAACTGCAACACAAAATCAACGTATTTATTTCAAAGTGCCAACACTGCAATTAAACCTGAATACTGAGGTTATAGTTTAGAAAAAAAACAACTTATACAGATGTCAGAACTAATTAACATCTTTTGTCTAAAAGAAAAACACAATAACAGAGCTTTCAACGATGCAGTTTTTTACTGAAAAAAATATCAATTCTACATGTGCATGTATTTTTGGATATGGGCTACTCTACTTTTATATGCCAGACTGAAATTGCATGGGGCAAGCCTTACTTCGGGTCATTTCCCTGCTTCTACAGGTGTTGGATTAGTAAGAGTCAACCTGTATTAGGATGAGCAAGACGGACAAGAAAACTAAACTTTCTTAACACACTTTAAACAACTCCTAAACTAAGGTCTTGGACTGCAAACACTGCATTAGGTACAATTTTGCATTTGGCATGCTTTTGCACAATTAATGTGATTTTTTGCTGTTGTATGCATGCTGATAATTTGTCAAACCTTGGCTCATACTCCGTTAGTTTGAGAACAACACATTCAGCACTCAGGTCATCTGTTAGTCTGTTTCTGGTATCAGATTTCATATAATTCAAAGCTGAAAACAGCTGCTCACAAGCATAAAATGACCCAAACAAAGTAAGAAAAGCAATCCCAAGTGCTTTCATTGACTTAAAATTATTTGGCAGAGAATTCCACACTTTAAGGTTTTCATTTCCAGAACTGCCAACTGTGCTGTCCTTTGTCATCCCTTCATACTATATCTTCTCAAGTGTTGCACGCAGGTCATAGAATTTATTTTACCAGATATCGCTTTCTTGAAATTCCAATAGCTCCATTTCTAGATTTCCAAAATCTAACCAGTGTAAGCAGGAAAGATCAAGTTCTTCAAATTTGGCTTTGGAGAAGTAAGAAAACATAGGGCTGTCTCCATCTTATGGAACTGTAAAAATCTATTACTAAAATTCTCCTTTGCAGAACTACCAACTGTGCTGTCCTTTGTCATCCCTTCACACTCAATCTTCTCAAGTGTTGCACTCAGGTCATAGAATTTATTTTACCAGATAGAGCTTTCTTGAAATTCCAATAGCTCCATTTCTAGATTTCCAAAATCTAACTAGTGTAAGCAGGAAAGATCAAGTTCTTCAAATTTGGCTTTGGAGAAGTAAGAAAACATAGGGCTGTCTCCATCTTACGGAAGTGTAAAAATCTATTACTAAAATTCTCCTTTGCAGAACTACCAACTGTGTTGTCCTTTTTCATCCCTTCACACTCAATCTTCTCAAGTGTTGCACTCAGGTCATGGAATTTATTTTACCAGATAGAGCTTTCTTGATATTCCAATAGCTCTATTTCTAGATTTCCAAAATCTAACCAGTATAAGAAGGAAAGATCATGTTCTTCAAATTTGGCTTTGGAGAAGTATGAAAACATAGGGCTGTCTCCATCTTATGGAACTGTAAAAATCTACAGTATTACTAAAATTCTCCTTTGCAGCTGATACAATGCTAGAAAATTCCTTGTAGATTTCCTGATGGTTTGTAGGTTTGTCCATAAATGTTGTAAATGCATTTTTAGATTTGGAAAATATTTCAGCTGTCCACTTTCAAGTTCTCTTTCAAACATCTGTAGTTTTTTCTGAAATGTTTTGATATCACAGAACATCCTTTCTTCTGTTTTCCCTAAACTTTGTAGTTTTTTGTTCAGTACATTGACGTGTAGTGTAACATCTGTAAAAAAAACATGAGGTTGGTAAACCAGGCCATATCAGTGAGCTGTGGATATTCCTGCCCCTTTTCATTCATAAATAGCCTAATTTCATGCAAGCAGGCTACAAATCTTTCCAGGACTCATCCTCTGCTCAGCCACTGGAAATTATTGTACATAAGTAAAGTATTATACTGTGCCTGAACCTCATCAGGAAGTGCTTGAAACTGTCAAAAATTAAGAGCACAAGCCATGATGTAATTCACCATGTTTGTGACATCTTTGTGGATTTCATCTAATTTTTTGCTGCTTTCCCTGAACTTCAAGAACTTCTTGATGTATAATACAGTGAAACTAAATGATTGGATGTTTTGCTTCTTTAACAAAGAACTGTATGAAACCAGATGTTACCCCCACCATGAAAGGTGCCCCATCAGTAGTAACTGAAACCACTTTTTCTGGTCTTATGTCCTGTGACAAAAAAGCCTCCATCATAGCATTGTAGATATCTATCCCATGTGTTCTTCCAGGCAAAGACACCAGTTTCACCAGCTCTTCTCTTATCACCAACAGCATAATGCAACATTACTGCTAGCCTTGCTTGATTATTTATATCTGTGCTTTCATCCAAGTGCATGGAGTAACAGGCATCCTTTTGTAAGTCAGTGGTGAGCTGTTGACTGACATCACTTGCGGCGTGCAGGATTCTATCTTTAACAGTATTTCTGCTAAGAGGCATTTCAGAGGTGCATTGCATAATTTTATCCTTCTTTGGGAAATCATAAAAAGGAAACTACCCCAAGACAACTTGGCCGTTTTGATAAAATCCCCATCAGAGAGGGGCTTACCATGTTTTGCTATGCACAATGAAATTTGAAAGCTGGCAGCTGGCAGATGATTTGTTTTAGAAAGATAGTTGCAAAAACTAAGATACTGGGAGTGATATTTCGTCAAATTTCCCTTCAAAAAACTCTTCCTTTCAGCTTCACCAAGTTTGGCAACACTTTTGTGGTTGGTGTCAAAGTGCCGTCTGACAACGTGATGTGCAAAACACAACACTTTCACTACATAGAATACATAACGCTTTCCCATTGCGTTCAGTCACTCCAAATGACTAGGTTCTGGCCTCTTGGAATAATCTTCCACTATCTATTTTCAGTTTTGCTTTTTTTGCTGTGCTCATTTTTTGGTGTTCAACACTTGGAGTCTAGAAAAACACAAAATTAAAAGAAAAAAAAAGACATGATTTACTAGCCCCATTCATACAAGATATGAATATATGTAAATGTTCTCAAAATATGGCTATATATAAGTCTGTAAGAGAGCAACTCACATTTTTGTAGACAGATATAGGCATAGCCATAGTCCAACGTCTTGTGGAACAACAAGGCGCACTGTGCCAGGGTAAGAGAAAACCTCATGGATTCCGCTGTGCTGCTGGTGACACCACTCTGCTGGGTCGTCTGTGTGAAGGATCCAGAAGAAAGGGATGGAACTCTCAGGCGCCAGGTGCAATGACATCACTGGACGAGCCGCGACTCGTTTCCAAGCATGTGCATTGG